TCAGGAGAGGACTCACCAAGGAGCCCAGACATGAAGCATCTAGAAGACATCGTAGAAGTCCATTTGCCCAGGAAAGTGCGGGAGGTCAACGAGGGCACGGTCCCTGTGAGTGTTCATCATCCCAGTCTTGCTAATAGCCATGTCTTGTTTCTGGAAAACTCAGACACTCACATGGAAACTGGAAATATAGTGCCCTCCAAGGGCGAGGTGTCCCACGTAAACACCTCCCAGCAGCTTTCCTTCCTTGATGTGCACACTCAACAGGTGCTGGAAGCACATATTAAAAGTTTTCANCCCCCATGTGCCCCAACCCCAACCTCTAACTCGAGCCTTGCCGCTGTCCCAGCCCTCACCTCTGGCTGAGACCCATGGCCAGCCTCACACCTCATCCTGTCTCCCCATCCCACCATGCTACTCACCACAGATTTTGGCCCGGGGAGCAGCTTGTCCTACAGACCAGATGCAGGCCGAACTTCTTATCCCAACTTCTATCCTACGCATGGATTGTCACCCTTCGAAGAAGGAACAAGAAAGTAGGAGTGATTTACCCACCATGGTCAAGAACCCTCAGGAGGCCTTTAGCCAACTCACCCCTGACAGTGGGGCCTCCCAAGAAAATGAGTCAGTATCCCTCCTCCCAGAGGACTTCATCAGCCCTGAGCTCCGGGAGCAACTGGAGAAACACCTTCAACAGAGGTACACACAACGCTGCTGTGGGCTGTCCCCCAGACTCCACGTGTCTCCAGACCTGATACAGCCTCAGGATGAATTCCCAGGGACTTCTCGAGTAAACAACAGGCACGAGTCCTCTGTGTTTGTAGGTGGGAGCAGCTAGAATATGCAGAAAATGGAGTCCAGGGACCCAGCCAAATCCCAGCTTGGGAAGATCCCAAGCAAGGACCCAAAACACTGTGTGTGGAGGGTCCTAGAACATCTACCCAGGGCTTCAGAAAGCAGCTCAGGGAAAGTTCCAGGGGCCAACACAGAGAAAAAGTCAGAAAGGGACTGGATGATGCCATTGGGAAGTGACTCAGGAGAGGACTCACCAAGGAGCCCAGACATGAAGCATCTAGAAGACATCGTAGAAGTCCGTTTGCCCAGGAAAGTGCGGGAGGTCAACGAGAGCACGGTCCCTGTGTGTGTTCATCATCCCAGTCTTGCTAATGGCCATGTCTTGTTTTTGGAAAACACAGACACTCACACGGAAACTGGAAATATAGTGCCCTCCAAGGGCAAGGTGTCCCACATAAACACCTCCCAGAAGCTTTCCTTCCTTGATGTGCACACTCAACAGGTGCTGGAAGCACATATTAAAAGTTTTCANTTGGAGGCAAATGAAAATAGAAACACAAATCAATGTGTTGACAGCCAAATGATTTTTGACAAAGGTGCCAAGAAGATACATTTGGGGAAAAGGCAGTTTCTTCGTCAAATGGTGATGAGAAAACTGGATATCCACAGGCAGAAGATTAAAACGAGACTTCTATCACTCACCATACACAAAAATCAACTCAAATAGATTTAAGACAAATTTAAGACCCTAAACTA